ATCTAACAAAAATAATCTACACAAAAATTTTTAGCAAATATCATATAAATGGTTTGATTTTGTTTGTTTTTTTGTGCTGGTGTCTAGCATTGCAATATAACCAAGTAAATGAACAAGTACTATAAAGAAACAGGTAAAACTATCATTGTTTGATACCTAATTTTATATGTAGAACAACACAAAGTAATATATTAAAATTAATAAGTGTGCGTGAAACTTCAATGTTCACAGAACAATGTACAAGTAAATATGTGGTATTACTATATAAAAGTCCTGGTGGTACAGTGTTCAATGACTTGACCACTAACTGGAAATTCAGTGTTTTGAATCCATTAGCCACTCTGTGAGAGCTTGGTGTGTTGTTTTCTGTAAATAAGCACAGCCCCAGAAAACCTATGGTGCAGTTCTATTCCCCTTTATAGAGCCTCTATGAATGACGACCATTTGAAGGCACACTTTTTAAACATTTGGTTGCTCACTAAAATGTTGGTGCTTTAAACCCATCAGGGCTCCATTAGAGAAAACACCCAGTCATCTGAACAGCTTAGAAAACTCTATGGGCCAGTTCTACGCTTTCATGTCGGGTCAAAATCTACTCCAGGGCACAAGAGCATCTTACTTGGGACATGTTATCAGGAGAGACCAGATTCTGGAAAAAGACATCGTGCTTGGTAAAGTAAAAGGTTACTGAAAATGAGGAAGATCCTGAAGATGAATTACATAGTGGCTGCGACAATGGCCGCAGAGGTAACAGTTGTGAAGATGATTTAGTGTCCCATTCTGTTATCCATAGAGTCCCTATGAGTTGGAACTGAGTCAGCAGTACCTAACAACAACAACAACAAAAAGCAATAAGCAGATAAAATATAATTGGAAATTGATTACCATTGCCACTGAATTAAAAAATGCATCGCCAGTAAACACAGCTAACAAAAGATATGAACAAGGCTGGTCTCTACTGGTAACTGAGAAAATGAGGCGCCAAACAGAAAAAAATAGCCATTATTTGGAAACAAAATAAATTATCTAGATAGCTAGAAGTATACTTTCTGCTCGCTCATAAGAAAATTCAGTATTGTATACATGTCATTTTTCTCCAAATGGATCTATAGATTTTGCAATCCCAATAGTAAGAAGTCATCGTGCACATTATTGAAAAATTATATGTGCAAAATATTGAATGATGCAGGCAGAATCAAAATAAATGAAAGGAATATGCAGAATCATTGTATCACAAAAGACTGCTTGGCACTTAATTATTTCAAGAGGTAACATATGAAGCATCATTCAGAAACAAGACTCCAAGGGAGCAGTCACACAGCAGAAATGTCTGGGCTCATCAAAAACAAGACTCCAGGAATCAGTGGGATACCAATGAAATGTTTCAACAAACTGATGAAGCATGGGACGTACTCAATAATATATTCCAAGAAATTTGGAAGACGGGTACCTGGAAAAACTAAAAGAGATCCATATGTGTACCCATCACAAAGACATATAGCCAAAAAGAATGCTGAAATTATAGAAAAATGTCATTAATATCACATGTGAGTAAATTTTTGCTGAGGATTATTCAACAATGGCTGTAGCAGTGCATCAACAGGAAGCTGGCAGAAAGTCAAGCCAGATTCAGAAGAGGTGTGTAACGACAGATCGTTGCTGACATCAAATAGACATTGGTGGTCAATAAACATATAAAGTAATACTAGCCTTTTAATTAGCCATTTGAGAGATGTAAATCAAAATAACAATGAGATAATCATTTCACTAAAGCAGAATGAATGATGTTGGGATTGCCATGAATTGCTGAATGTAAAACTAATGTGCATGAATTGCTGAATGTAAAACTAATAATCTGCTCCATAAAGAAAACCACCTAATCACAATAAGACATCTTTAAGCATTGACCACTTTATATCAGTAATAAGAAAGTCAAAATATTACAACAGATACAAATGGACAAAGTACAAAAAGTTGTTATTTATGAATTAATCTAGCAAAAAACTTCACTGGGGGCAAAATTCACAAAATATTATGGAAAACATTATAAAACACCTGAATAAATAGTGTCATATGCATGGATTGAATGTGTAAATATTATTAACACAGTTAATTATCTTCAAGTTAATTAATAAATTCAATGGTATTCTAAATATACTGAGACTTTTGTGTAGCTATGCAAACTAACCCTTCTATTTATACAGGAAGCAAAAGGCCAAAAACATTAAGCATAATTTTGTGCAAGAACAAGGACATGCATCTAATAAAATCAGACTTACTTTTACTTTCATGTAATTGAGAGTGGTGTGTTTCTGGGATATAAAAATAAACCAATTCAAGATAGTAGGTAGGTCAGAAACATATTCACATATATACATATTTGATACATGAATGAGGTTATATCAACAGCTAATTAAATTAAGCCATGAAATGCTCTAGATATAAAGCTTTCCACACAGAAAATAGATACAATTAGATCTGTTCCCTAAATAATTCACATAAATTATTTCTAATGGAAGTAAGGTATAGGAAAGAATTTCTTAATCAAGACACAATAAAGCACCAGTTAAAATAAAAAGATAAATACATTTTATTATATTTAATTAAATACCCCTTTTAAACAAAAAGATATAATAAAGTTGAAAGCCAAGGTACAATGAAGAAAACATATTTTCTGTTTTTCAAAACCATTTTATTGGGAGTTAATACATATATCATATCATCCCATAGTTCAATCACATTAAGCAGAATTGTACAATTTCTACCACAATCAGTAATAAAACATTATTTTTCATCTTGAACTCCTTGACATCAACTCCCTTTTACCCTCCTCTCCCCACCCCCCAACTGTACTGCCCCCAAACCCTTATTCTACTTGCTGTCCCTACAGATTTATCAATCCTGGGTTTCATACACTGAAAAACAGACAATCATTTAACAAAAATTCAAGAGAGTCACCCTCAATGACAAAACACATCTGAGATAAACCCTAATACGAGAAAACAAAAATCAAAAATACAGAAAATGGTGCAAACCAGATCAGGCCTAGTGTGCATCAGTCGGAGCATCAACTGACAAGGTTTTAACAGTTCAAGTCAGATTTATCATATTCTCTTCTATAGTCATCTCTCCAGTGCACCTTGTTTGCTGGAAATCAACAACAGAAAGAACGAAAAACAAATACTTGGAAACTCAACAACACACTATTCAAAAAAAGACTGGATATTATCCCAAATAAGGGATGAAATTAGGAAGTTCCTAGAAACAAATGAGAATGATAGCACAACATACCAAAACCTCTGGGACACAGCCAAAACGGTTATCAGAGGTCACTTTATAGCAATTAATGCAGCATGGAAAAAGAGAAGAGAATCTTGTTCAACACCTTAACACAACACCTCCAACAACTTGAACAGAGGCAACAGGATAAACCTTTCAACAGCAAAAGAAACGAAATCATGAAATTGCAGCAGAAATAAATGAACTGGAAAATAAAAAAACAATGGGAAACATTTTAAATGCATATAATCAGTAAGTATTAGTTTTCAGTATACTGTAATAAGAAGATCTACAAATCAATAAGAAATAGATAAGTCATCTACAAGGAAAATAGCCAACATATATAAACAGTAATTCACAGAAGAGGAAATTTAAATGCTCAATAATTTAATGAAAGTGTGCTCAATCTCAGTAATAATCACAGGTATATGAAAACTAAAATGATACTAATTAAAATGGACAGAAATTAAAAAGGCTGGACATATAATATGTGTTGGCAAGCACGGGACAACATCAGAGCTTTTATATACATCTGGCTGAAGGTGGAAATCGGTACAAATATTTTAGAGATTATTTTGTCAATATTTTGGCAACTTCATATGACTATACTCTTTGATCCACAACTCCACTTCTATGTAAATACCCCAGAGAAACGCTAGTTCATGGACAAAGCATTGTTTTAAACGGAATAAACCTAAGCAACTAGATATCCATCCATTGGAGAAGGGATTCTTTATCATACTGTAGAGCTACAAAAGAAAGCCAGCTAGCATATTATATGAATAAAGTAGAACTAAATTTATCAGCACAGATAAATTTCAAGATCAAAGTTGAATGAGCAAAGCAAATTATAAAAATATAATCTGAACAATGTAACTTTTAATAAACTGTGAACACCTAGAAACCTAATTTACATAATTCTTATAAACCCATAAAGCCACCAAAAACTGAAACTCACTGCCATCTAGTTAATTCCAACTCATAGTGACCATATATAAACTGAATGGAACTGCCACTATGGGTTTATAAGGCTATAAAGGTATTATGGGAGCACAAGGCCTCATTTTGCTCCAACAGAGCAACTGGTGGTTTCACATGGCTGACCTCTGCTTGGCAGCTAACTCATAACACACTGCTCTACCAGAATTCCTCATAGACCAAGAAAGCTGTAGTTAAAAGAGCACGATGAAGGTAAAATCATCAATAATGGATTCTTGAAAGTCTCCATATGATGAGAAACAAGGGAGGGAAATATGATTTGGGAAGTATTAAGAGGAACATCAATTATATCTATAAACTTAATTTGAAGACATCTAACTTAAACAGAGCATGATATGAAGATGTAAAGTTGGGTGATATGCACACAAGTGTTTATCATATTTTAGTCTTTCTGTTTGTTTGAAACATATCACCGCAAACTCAGTAATTAAAAAGCGTAAATCAAGGCATTATTATGAATTTTTGTGAAGTACAGAGTTAAAGCTAGAGCAAATGTTGTTTATATGACAATATTTTATTATGTTAAAAACAAGCGTAGCAGAATCTGTTTGTCCAGCAGGCCAGGAGAAACAAAGCCATCTTAGCAACAAACCCCATCCCCATTCGGTCGTTTACACAGTGCAGAGCTTCCGCAGAGCAAATGGTTGAATATGTGCATCGCACACATGCTCCAAGCTGTGGCCATGAAGGTTAACCCAGGCTGAAGGATACGGGCTGTTGAGTCATAGAGCCCAGGTTACCCGTCGTACTTGGTTTGACGTTGACTTCTCTAGAGCCTCATCCTTCATGGAGGGCAGACGGACAATGCTACGAGGCATCATCGCGGGATCTACTGATGAAATAACTTTGATGGTATTCCCAGATTCTGGCACTTCCTTACATTCGCTAAGAGATTTCGTCATGGTGTGCAGGCAGGTGAAGTGCTTGATGAACCGCAAATTGTTTAGGATAGAAAGGATTCCTGTGGGGCAAAGAAGTCAGCGGATGGTAATGAAGGAACCTGTGAAAGTCACAGAGACATTTTCCTCCATGTTGGCAGAGTGAGCTTGACCCCAAGCCCTGTGGAACCCCTGAAATGCCTCAAGTCCTCCAGAAAACTGTAATTAAAAGACTAGAAGTGTGTGCAGAATATGTCGAATGCCTCTCAACTCAGCAAATGTGAAGCTTTGAGAGTGGGGTGGGGGATGGGGGAAAGAAATGTTTCTATCTGGGTTAGGAAGTGTAATGCCATGTGACATTTTAAAGATTTCTTAGACTACAGGGTTCTAAGTGTTGGTGAGTGCCTATTTAGCATTGGATCCATATTTTTTTCTCTGCTTTCAACTTACAATTTGCCTTGGCTATATGCCTAGGGGCACTGGTCCTCTCCACTTCATTGACAAATCCCGATTAGTCTCTCTCCTCTTAGTCATGACTTTGATAGTTATTGTTTGCCATAACATGGACAGGGTGTGAAAGACAGGGGAAAAAGTGGAAATGGGGAACTACCAACAACGACTGGTTTACAAAGCATTCAACACAATCCTAATCTCCATTTTGGTCTTGCAGAAATTGCCCTGGCAGAGTGAGTTGAGTTGCTCTTTATTCATTTATATTGAAGGATTTCATACTTTCCCTGACCCCATTAGCTTTTTCTATCCTTTGCCCTCCATGTCCTTAGGAATAAATGTGTTCTTATCATCCTTCAAGGACTCTTGAGCTACTTACCACACATGAAAAAGAAGGGGACATTCGCATAGGCAGCGTAAAGGATCCAGGCGATCTTGTAACTTGAGTAGTACATGGATTGGCCTTGCTTTAGCTTGTGGTGATACAGTATGAGTGCAGAGAGCAGCATAATACCTGATGTCCAGACAAAAAGAGAAAAAAGTCCTCCTGAAAAGTTTTGTCTCTAGTACCTAAGTCTTTCATACAAAAGATGTACCTACCAGATGTGCATGCCTCTACCCTGTTTAACTGCACCTTGCGCAAAGATGGGACCACTCTTCTAGGGTAGCTACAACAAATGGGTCCCAGAAAACTGAGAAGGTTGAGTTGCAGTATTTTTTTTTATCACACTGCTGACATAGCATTTTAATTTTCATATTAAGAGCAAAATAGACTTAATGCTTCTGAAATAATTTGAAAATTACAATATTATTGGACAAATCCCAATCATCACATTTGAAAAGACATTACTCAAATTAGTAATAAAAATGGAGAAATTTTGTTTGTAAATGTAAATGTATTTTTATACTTTTAAAAAAAGTTTTATTGGCATCTAATTTACATAGCATACACTTCAATTGTTCAATTGTTCAATCATATCAAGAATTGTACAATCATTACCATACTAATTTTAGAACATCTACATACCCACCCACCATGGTTGAATCACCTTTGAAACAAGTTGTGTAATAAGTCAGTTCTAGTGCTCCCTCCCTCCTCCCATCTTCATTTAATCCCCCTTTCCTCCCTCTTATCCCACATCTGTATCCTGTATCATCCCCTGTATCAGTTATTATCACTATGCATTCTCTCTTTCTGTGGGTCACAACCTGGGAAACCCAACAGACACAATTAAAAGCAAAGGATAAAAATAACAATAGGAAAACCAAAATACAAATAATGAGTAAGAAAGAGAAGACCCTCATAAACATTCCAAAATCTAGGAAAGACATTTCTGTCATGGAGCAAGCAAGAGATCCTTGTACACAGAACCAACTTAGGCTGGGTCTACAGGGAGGTCATCTGGCCAAGTATCTAGTTCAATTCAGCACATTCAAGATTACGATGGTCTCTGCCTGACAGCACAGCTGTTCGAGACCCTTGTTTGTGGGTAGACCAGATTTGCCAGCAGCTCAGTCTGACCAGCTACCCTGGAGATGGCTGTCCTTTGTAGCCTTCTACAAATTGGGTGTTCATAATTTTAACTCTGATACTTTTCCCTTCACCATATTTAAATTTTTTAATTGTCACCTTTAGATCACACAAGCTGGTGTGCTTCTTCTGTGTGGACTTAGTTGACTCCTTGCTTAGATGGCTGCTTGTTTGAATACAACCCGTTAAGACCCCAGACACTATTCCAATAGCAGAGCACCATCTACTTTCTTCACCACACTTTGCTGTAGCACCCTCATCTTCAGTGATCCTTTCTTGAAGGTGAGTATCGAGCAGGGCCATTTATCAGAACTAGCTGTTGTTGAATTGGGGCTAGTTAAGTAGGAGCACAGACTCCATCTGCTTGCCCATGGGGTTTGCGCGTCTCAGGTTTACTTTGGTGATCATAATATGACAAAATCATAACCCTATACCAACTGCATCAATAGCAGCCATCAGCCAAGCAACAACCAAGCAAACAGAAGACATACACCCTAAAAGAAAAAACAAAAATCACACACACAAAAAAACAAATTATAAGCTGATAAGTGAAAATCCAGAATCACCTCCCCTGGGGTATATGTAGATTGCATTATTGTCATCATTAATCTTCCCAGTGACCCAGCACCCCAGCCACTGTCAGTATGAGGAGTCTATGAGAGTGCAGTTTTACTTTGAGTTGCATCCCACCAGTTTTTGTCCTACACAGTTCCCTCTCTCATTCAATTGGACTCTGTTGACCCTAAGTATGGGGGTCAATGCAAGTGGGGGGCCTTCCAGGGCCAACTGCCCCACGGGCAGATCCCTGTTCAATGGATCCCACCTGATGAGTTACCGATTGCAGTAGTTTTTCACAGACAATGTGCTTACTCTGTTTATTTGTCAACCACTCCCTCTCATTTTCTTAAGTGCCACCTGACAATTTTTGTTTTCAACATGTTGCTAGAGTCAGAAAATACAGCCTGTAAGGACAAACCAAGTATCCTTCCAAGCCTGAATTAGGGAAACTGGGAAGTTACCTGTCATGAAACTGAGGGAAGCAGTGATGAAATGGATATATTTGGCTTGAGGAATCATATAGATGAATTCCATACCCAGGAGCAAGTTAAGGAGGAAGGAAAGACTGAGGGTCAAAATCATCATGATCCTGACCACTTCAAGGTCATCTGTTGGAAAGCAGAAGCTGTATTGAGAGAAGGACACATATTTCTTCTAGTCTTATTTCTACCTGGGGTCCACAAATTTCTAGGTAAAAATGGGAATAGGGTGAAAGACTTGATTAAGTAATAATAAAGAGGGAAGGGGAGGAGAGGAAAAAGAAGCAGGAAGCTGAATGTGAGAGAGAACCAGAGGAAAACATGCTCTGCTTCTTTCTCATCTATTTCTTTATTTTCTGAGAATCTTGTTAAATTCCCTAATTCATCTTGTCCCTGGCACTTTTCTTGTGTTAATATACCATACTTTTCTTGTTGACATTCACTTTTCTTTTTTACCTGCTCTAATGTACTAACCACCCTGCTGCTGCCAAGTAGCAATTAAGTATCCAGCAACTAAGTCGGTGAGTTTCTAACCTTCCTCCAAAGCATGCAGAGGGAGACTTCGGAGTCTGCTTCGACTGTGTTAATTACAGAAATGTGAAAGTTGTACTAAAAGTTAATAGAAAAGTTAGATGAATGGAAGCCACAGAAAGTTGAACCCCCTCTTGCCACCTAGCCCATAGTCTAGTATCTGACCTTCTGGCCAAATCGTTAAGCAACATAGCATCCAGGGACTGTGGTTTATTGCACCTTTTTTTGCTTCCAACTTCAGTTCAATCCATTTATTTGAGATGTTTCCTATCACCAGGATGATTAAGGCCAAGGAAGAGAAGATTATGTTGGTGGTTTGGATACTTCTGAGGAATATTTCCACCATTGTCAGCAGTTTTCTGGTTGAGTTCACCACAAGTCTTTCACAGGTAGATCTCTCTTCTCTTCTGATCAGCCACAGGGCAAAATTTGGTCTTTGAATGATCGCTGAAGCATTGGTATCAGCAGAAGCTGAAGTAGCCTATGGGACAGACAAGACTGCTCCTACTCTTCACCACTGCGATATCTTGGTCAGCCTCCTGTCAGGCCTGCTAACTGCCATGGAATCATCTGCTCTTTTGACCCTTGACCCTGGGGCCTAGTGTAGTGGAAGGAACAAGGATCCTGCTTAGCGGTCCAGGGATTGGGAAAACCAGAAGCCTTGAAAGAAGCTATGTATAAAAAGTGCAGAAGCCCAAATTGAGAGGAAATATAATTTAGAGTTAGAAATATGTGTCAGGATTAATTGACACTGGCTAGGAAGCAGTGAAGGGGAGAAACGTTTCAAGATCCTTGACAGGAGAAGTCTAACTAGCATCATCAAAGGGTGTTTTGGAGATGTGTCCTCATTTAGAGGCTCCAAAGAAGTTTGGTTTGTCAGAATTTTTCAGAAACAGATCAATGTCTTCCACCCAAAAGAACTGGCCCAATTGATGTAGCCTTTGCAGTTACCTCTTATATGGCACAAAATACCTTTTTTCTTGTCAGGATTGCCATTGTAAATTGGCAGAGAAAATATTTTTGGGGGGTTCCTTGAAAGTCTAGTCATGGACTTTTTGTGGACTAGACTTTCAAAGGATTTTACTGAAACTCAATAAGTTATCTATGGAGATGTGATGAGAATCATCTCCTACTTCTCTCTGATTATATTTTGATCTCATTTAGACCATTATTTGTGGGTGAAACTGTACCTTCTTTCAGTGTTTCAAGCATTCTGTGCCGTCTCTTTCCCTGATTTCTCCATAGATTTAAATTTTATGTATATTTAAATAAGAATATATTAATATAGATTTATATATTATATATAACATTTACATATATTTAAAATTAAATAATATACTTAAAACCATGCACAACAATATATTTGAACTTATAGGAAAGGCTTCATGGATAAGAAATGACACAGGAGCCGGGATCTGAATTCCAACTTGATTACTTACCAGCTGTGGACCTTTAAAGATGCTTTCTATTGTATAAGGCTTTGGAGAGATTGAATGAGTTCTTGGAACCTAGTCAATGATATAGACATTTACCATAGTTTTAAATTGTTTTTTTTTAAGGTAGAGACTATAAAAAAGAGGTTTACACAGGGGAAGTTTATTGGGGTATAAACCTCAGAATCACACCTGTGATTGAGGAGAGCAGATTAAGCTGACCCCTCCCGAAGCTTTAGATCTAGATGACCCTTCAGAGGTGTCCTAAGTGGAAGCAAAAGGGCCCTGCCTTTGTTCAAAGCATTAGTTAAACCATTAAATACAGACTAATCCTCAGGTGGTATCTCCATTCTATCAAAGAGTAATTCCTGGACCTTTCAGGAAGTGGAATCCTTGAGAGTCAGCACTTATTGAGCAGCTGCCAAAATAAGGTGCCCTGCTTGACGACTTCTATAGGCCTTAGCTTGTTGTCAGGGCTGCCAACTGCCATGGAACCTTCTGTTGCCTTGACTCTTGGATCTTGCCTAGAGTCAGTGGAAGAACTCAGGGGGTATATAGGCACACCACATAATTCACAACTCACATTACTATGTTCTTACATAATTATGCTTTCATGTATATGAGGTAGATCCTGAAGACTGAAGAGTTGAAAAGATATGGTTTTTAAATGTTTATGCCGTTAGAAATATGTGTTCTTTGCAGGTTTTAATTGATTGTGACAGTAAGGACTGAAAGATGTAGTTAGATCTTAAAGAGATAGCATATGAAGTATAAATGAGATTCAAGTAAAAGAATAAATCATGTTTACAACTAAGGAGAAAGCTGGACAATGAAGTCACTAAGAAGAACAAAAATATGAAAGGAAGCACAGTTCACTGAGGAAGAGGAAGAAGCAAAACAAGAATTAATTTTAGTTAAATTTAAGGTGTCTGTATTGAAGAAATTAGTTCTGAAACTTGGTAAGGGTAGGGCTCAAGATAAAGGTTCATTAACAGAGAGATGGCAGTTGAAACACAGGGGAGTGTGTCCCCATGCCCCTGATAAAATGTGAAAAACGATTGAGAAGAACTTTTTTTTTTGCGGGGTTGGATTGGTGGGTGGAGGGGGATCATTAGCATTTCTACGAAAGTGCAAAGCAGTGGTGATCAGAATTGCTGCTGTTGTTAGAAATGGTCGAGTCAGGTTGAACTTGCAGTGACTTTAGCTACAACAGAATGGAGGGCTGTTTGGTCCTGATGTGTTTCTGTGGTTGATCCCATTGTTGGAGTAATTGTGACATTCCATCTCACTGAAAATCTTCCTCTTTCTGTCTAGCCCCCTCTTTTACTAGAGGATCTGACATCTTTTTCTAGAAGAAGATCTCTTTCGATAACATGCCCACGGTATGCGAGACGTCTTGCCATTGTCACTTCTATGGAGCCTTTAGACTGTACTTCTTCCAAGACAAATGTGTTTGTTCTTCTGGAAGTTCATAGACAACTCAGTATTTCTCACCAACATTAGAATTCAATGTATCAATTCTTCTTTTGTCTTCAGTATTCACTGTCAAGCTTTTGCAAGCATGTAAAGTGACTAAAAATGCCATGGCTTGAGTCAGGCACACCATACCCCTTAAAGTCACAGGTTTGCCTTTTAATGCTTTGAAGATGCCGTTTACAGCAGCTTTTCCAAGTGCGATTTGTCATTTGATTTCTTGACTATTGTTTTCCTGAGTGTTAATTGTGGACCCAAGTTAAATTAAGTCCTGCACAACTTTGATCTTTCTTTCATTTACCGTGATGTTGCTTAGGGGTCCAGTTCGGAGGATTTTGGCTTCTTGATGTTGAGGGGTAATCCATCTTGAAGGCTGTAGTCTTTGATCTTCATCACTAAGTGCTCCAAGACAGAGAGAGGAGGAAAACATATGAATGTTACTGAAAAATTAAAAAGAGGATCAGGTTTTGAGGGAATATTGGGTGATGATGATTAAGCAGCTGCTGAATACAGGACACCACAATATCACTGGTGATTTCGGTCACATCATTTTCAAGAGAATGAGGAGAGAAGTCAAAGTGATGTGTTTCTCTTTACATTTTTCTTAATCTGGTTTATTAGAAAGTCAACAAATTTTTTTTT